CAGTTTTTTTTAATATAATTCATCAAAAGACTATGAATGTAATGAAAGACAACGTACGTCCGGTCATGGAAAGTATTCCAGAGAGATGAAAACAACGCTTTGAGATCTTCATAAAGTATATTTCTGAGGCGCTGTATTGAAGAAATGAGGCGTGTTTTGTGAACCAAAGATGTTGATTTAACTGCCGGGTTCAAATGTATTTAATTTTCGCGCAAAATGCACACGTTAGGCTACACTAAATATCGGTCACATCCTGTACAAAAAATTTACTAAATTAATTTAAATTACAATATCTTATGGTAAAATTAAATAAACAAAACATTTTCTTTTTAAAGCATAAAACATTTTAACAATTTTGTTTTAAACTACTAGGCTTTATCTTATATAGGATGTAACTTTCAATGAGATAATTTAAGTAAAAAGACATAATATTGTATTCAAACACTACAATATGCCTATCAAACTGGATTATCTTTTTTCATACTAAGGTTTGATAATAATTAATAAGTGTTAATAAAGTTTGATAATAATTAATAATTTAATAAATCATTTATAGCATGATTTTACACGATGAAAGGTTTTGAAACTAAAATTATAAACGTAAATTATACACAATTTAGCTGTGTTTTTTTTTTCATTTTAATCTCTTTTATTTTCTTCATTTTAATCTCTTTTACTTTCTTCATTTTAATCTTCTTACTTTCTTTTCTTTCACTAAGGGCTTAAAACTGTATTAGTTTCGGTCTATTAGCAGTTGCATTTTCTCATTCTCAAAAATGCGGTTTCTAAATGATGGCATTGCCTTTGGAAAAATTAATCAATAAATTTAAGGTTTATCTAAGCAAAATATGGTACTTTAAATATTCTAAATTTAAAATTCGAAAGATGAAAGGTCTAATTTAGCATTTTGGTAGAACTCATATTTTTGGTTGTTTCTAATTTTATCAAATTTTTATTGGTTCTAGGGATTAATATACCTTATTTTAGAGGCAATATTTGAGTCAAAAAAGAATGAACTGTCGTCATGCACACTGTGATGTAAAGCCTTCGAAAGCTCATCCTTGATTACATTTCCAAAAATTAATTTTAAAATTTGTTCTTGCCTTTGATTTAATCAAGAAAAACTTTTTAATTTCAGTTTTGCTACGGAGAGTAGATGTAACATAAATTAGGTTTTTATTCCTTAAAAGAATGCTTTTATTTTATTTTTTTAAAAGAAGGACGTGCATAAAATATTTACCGAAAAATAAATCAAATTTTTTTTAATTGCAAAAGATATTTAAAAAATGTGTTAGATGTACGCTATAACATTCATTGGTTGAAATAATTTTTAGTACACATTGTTTGTATTAAACATTTACATAGGCGTCCTGAATTGATTTCACAATTTTCAGTATATTGACGAATTTACTTCGCAAATTACGACTGATGTGCATTGCAAGAAATTCGATACTATATACTACAAGTTCCACCAACTCTTCAACTCACCTATAACTTACAAATCTCATGATACGATAACACTATACAAAAATCGTAAATGCATTTCACCTTCATTGATTTAATTGTTTGATTTGAAGTGGGAGACATTTAAAATTAAGCAAGTCAACTATGATAAAACTATTTTTCTCTAAAAGAAAAGAGCTAATCCCATGTATGTTTTATAAGATTCCAATTAGGAAACTATCATTATATACACAGTATTGTGACTAGCAATGCTAAGTGGAACACGCGCTCTGAACTTAATGACAGGAAAAAAGATACTTACTTTTGGTGTCCCGCGAAAAATTTTCAATCATTTTGTATAGTAGAGATTATTAAATGAGAAGAAACCCACATATATTAATAATTTTATTTGAGAATACCCAATTACAGTGGCATTAAGAGAAAAGTTCTTGAATAAAATATCTTATAAGAACACACTATTATTTACAACTCCAAAATATCGTACTGGTATACAAAAATTAAAGGATTTCTTCGCTAAGGCGGATGATATTATTACTTACATGCAATGCTAGGGCAGGATATTAACTCAGAACCTAAATTTTGCTCTACAGTGTTTTACAGAAAGTCGTGAAATTGCCCGTGATGTACTCAGTGATTTCTTCGATGGCATTCCTTGTCATCGATCCTACGAGACCTCTGATTCCAGCTAGAATCTCATTACATTTCATCTCTGCTGTATATGATTCCTTGGAATGGGCTGAGATTCCAGTTGCGAGGAAATCATGATCGCCTAACTTTTGATTTGTTTTTTCTATAAGGCCATCTGAAGAAACTGTTGTATCAAACCCACCTCTTGCTCAAGTATATTTTATTGTTCATCTTCATGTTGTATTCCCTTATGTGGATACCACATTGCTAAATTGTATTCAGTCTCCATGCAAACATCTATCCATATACGCAATGGTTTATTCTGAAACCCTTCTCCTATAACCATTATGTTCACTTATGAAGTCATTTTTATCTACACTGGCGGGAGGAATCTCTCCCCGCAAATTTTGTACTGTCTTGACAAGACAGTCTGTACAAATAATGGTATGCATATGAAAATTATAACACATATGCAGACAATTGACTCTTAGAAACATAGAGATAGGAAATGCAATGAAATATGTAACAAATTACACTGAGAAATAAATAAGTTCGAATCTCTAGGGGTTTACTTTAAAAAAAAAATTGACACTCAGCCAAAACTAATTGTGGAAAAAATGTGTCATATTAGCATAAAAATTAGGTGCAATTAAAAGAGATCATCCACTAATGTTCCCACAGAAGATAATAGCTAAGTTCATAGATTTCAAAAAAGACCTTCGTTACATTTACATTAGTGAATGCATTCATTTCCAATTCAACTTGTCGAAGAATATTTGACGGCTTTCATATGTGACAGTGGGAGTTTTATTTTAATTAATACGTAACATGTTACCCACTGTTACCCATTATTAAACATTACATGTTACCCATTATTAAATTAAATAATAAAATTATTTAATTTTTAGCTCATGTTAAAATCTGTCTTATACTCCTATTATTTTGCTTATTTTTCCAGAATATACGAACGAGAGGAGGAGTCCAAGAGTACAAATATAAGTCTGGAGAAGGAGTAAATCCCCCTCCCGTAAGAAATCCCCTGGTTGCTTATCTTTCGGTACGTTAGATTTTCCTTTGGTGTTAAATGATAGGTTGCTAAATTTACGAGAAAAACGCTGGGATATAAATAAATTTGATAACACTAATTTATATGAATTTGTAAGGATCTTAAGTTTTACTAACGTTTATTTTATTTTAAATCTTTACTATCACTTCTTATTTTCTACTTCCGGCCAGAATTATAAGCGTTAACGTATTTATGCAAAGTTTGTCTGGCGAACGCCAAGTATTTAAGTTGTGGCTTTTTGCCAAGCGAGAGAGAGGAAGCAGTTAGTCGAAGCAGGCCGCTTACCTTAGAAGTTTTACTCAGTTGCTGGTTGCCTTCCAGGCCAGAGGTTTAATCCTCTTGATAACTTTAAACGTATTGTAGTGTTCACAGTTCTCTGTACTACATACGGCTTCCTGTTAATATAAGGCCAATCTTCCACGTTTATTATTTCAAAGTTAAGTTAGCGTTTAGTTATATTTTTATATTCTTACGTTTAGACCACAAGTAGTGGGTCTTTGTATTCCGAAGTACGGAAATTATTGTAAATAGAGAAAAATAAAGGGTTTTGTATACCCTTCTTGTGTATCCTGTCTACTTCCCACAGTTATTGAACATAGCTTTAGTAAGCTCTCTGTTCCGAGTCAGGTCCTTGCATGTTCCCGAAGAAAGTAAGACGGAACATTGAACCTGATAAATTCTCGACGAATTATCCCGGCGAGAAGCGGAGGTCATTTTGTCTTCGTTAATTTTAGTTATGTACTTAAAAGTACAAGAAATTTTAGGTGCTTTTATTTCTCCTCCATTCATTTTTATTCTGAAATTATAACCTAAACCATAATACAATTTTATTTTTCCTACTAGTAGGCTAGAATAGTTTTAGATTAAACAGAATTCAGTTTAAGAGGAGAAAGCTTATTATACTACAAGATTTGTTCTTCCGTGACGTCAGTGACTCATATTCTACTCAAAAGCAACTATTCCATACGGATTTCATGCCTTTGTTGCTCCCACTTCTGTATGGCAAGTTAAGTTATTGAACTTGCATGTTGGAAAGAGCTAAACGTTCTTTATTTACTGACCCCGATGCAGGAAATCCTTGACTCTCGGTAAGAATTAGAATGACCTCTGGCCTGTGGTTATTGACCTCTGTAGAATTAGAATGACCTCTGTCTCTCGGTAAGAATTAGAATGACCTCTGGCCTGTGGTAAGAATTAGAATGAACTCTAGCCTGTGGTTATAGTTTCCTAAATGTCTTTTCGAGTACTCAATGAGAAATATCGAACTTTGCTTATTTTAGACAAGAGATTATTTCCCGTTGGAGTGCCAGGCTCTGAAATTACTTCTTATCCTGGCATCCGCTGTTTCATTTCCCTGTAGTGATGTGCTTGGGCATCCACTGCAAACAAGTTCTTAAGTTGTTCGAACGTGCCCCTAGATGAAGACAGAAAATTCTCCTAGGAGATTCTTAGATTCTTAGAATGTGTACATTGGATAGTCTATAGACTATATTCAATGGCTGTTCTTTGGTGTCTTTCAGTAGTCGCGTGTGTTGTCCGCCTGAGACGGCGATAAATTAAGGCTTTATTTCACCCACGTAAATTGAAATTTGTCCGTTAAATTGAATTTACACAGCTCTCTGCATCAGCGATGTTACACCGCTTTAGAGAATAGATTTTAAATAATTTTATAATAAATAGATTTTAAATAATTTTATAATAAATAGATTTTAAATAGGATGATAGATTTTCAATTGCTCTTCTCTAACCTCAGAAAGGAAAATTATATTAAAAATCAACCTTTCATAATGGAAAGCAAAATTATTAAGTTACAAATTATATATCAATATTTTCAAAGTCATACCTTCTTCTATTCCTGACACTATGGAACTAAAGTTATTGTCCAATAAAATCATATCTGCAGCTTCTTGACTTGCATCGCAGCTATTCATACTTGTTGCTAAACCTGGAAGATAAATCTTTAATCCATACGCAGTTAAAAGAAGTATTTACTAATTATGAGATATATTATGCAACCAGTAAGTTAACAAGTTGTTTTGTAATAAAATATGCTTAAAACATTCATAGCGACCACTACTGAAAATTATTAGTATTTCTAGAACACAAATAAGCATGGAAATATATTTTCTGTATAACTGCACAGAGCAACAAAATTCTCTAGAGCAATGGATGGTCGTTTTAGCGAGATTTCACTGCATTTCATATTAATAAATGTTTGCACAGACGTAGTGCAAATGCAACTTTGTTGATTGTATATCGAAACTTGACGCGAATAACAGTCATATGTTGTTTTGTTGTTTGACGGAATACGGTATGTGTTTTTACAGCATGTGCATTAAATTTACCCCATGGCAGTTTAAATTTATAACTTTCTAAAAGCTTGTTTACTAAAATTTTCTTACCAATCTCGGCTTTCCTGAGCGCTGGGGCATCCTCCAGACTATCGCCCGTGATGGCTACAACTTCTCCTAAACTCTGCAAGGCTTCAACAATCTGAAGTTTCTGGAAGGGTGTTATACGAACGAAAACTATTTCCTGGTAAGTTTTCAATAACTTGACCAGGTCTTCTGAATCCATGTCTTCTAGCTCATCGTTGTGTATGACTGCAGCACTGACCGATCTGAGAGAAGAAGTATTTTTAAAAGAAATGTAAATTTCGATTAAATCTTTTTAATGCAATTTTGTTGTTTCTGACATAATTTAATTAAAAGATTTTTATTTGGTGCATCTCAGTTTAGATAAATATTTCTGATTCTGTTTTCATTATAACGCAAGTGCTTATGATACTGTAGGAATTGTCATTTCTAATTCTGAAACTCGTTTCTTTATTACTTTGTTTTCCTCCTACAAGTCTTTGCCAGCATGAGTTTTAAGTATCGCGCTTTATGTAAAAGAGGTAGATCCAGTATTTAATGAGAAGTTCAGTCACCTCCGCAGAAAGCTCAGAAATTCTCAGTAGAACGTTTTCTGCCTTTTGGCCACGTTGTTGCTTTAAGCCTATCTTACTACGTTCAGCCGTAGTCTTGCGTGCCTGTTAAGTTTCACCTGTGAGGTATAATTACGGGTCCAACTCCATTAGGTACTTTTGTACAGCTTCGGCTTAGTTATTTAGAATTAAGTTAGTTTCTTATTTGCTATCTTAAGTCAAAGCCCAGGTGGAGGCTTTCCATTATGCCAAGCGAGGAGTATATAAGCATTCTGTACCGCGCCATACGCATAGGAAAAAATCCATGTTTGTGATTGGACATATTTTCCGATGACATTCTTTTCTCTTGGGGTGTTGAAGTTTAGGAGGAATTCTTACGGTTTTGTTTTCGTTTAATGAGTGACACGGAAATGTTAAAATTATCTTTTGTTTTCTTTTAACAATAATGCCAGACGAAAAGATTTACTTACAGCATTCTACAGATGGCTTCCTGTTCCATAGAATAATAAAATTACAAAATCCTTTAAAGATGCTATTAATACCAGATGCAAATTTGAGAACTTAGATTATATAAATAGCAAGTTCTAGAATTTAGTACAAAAACCAAAACACATTGGATTGCACGACGATTTCGACATGACTGCAAATGCACTGTGTGTTTGTAAGTATATTATTATTGCAATTATGTTGCGTTCGTTTCCTTTCACATTGCAGAAAATATTTCCTTTGCAACTGCATATGTTATTTCCATGTTAGCATCTATGTCTTTCCAATCCTAATATTCTGTTGCCTTGATTGAAAGAAAAAAGTGTATTTAGTATTGTCGCTGAATTTAATACATATGTATAAAGAAAGGAGCTTCCTTTTTGATCAACACTATTTTTACACAAAAGTACTAAAGATATTACACATTAAAAATGGACAACATTCATAAAGTAATATCATTCCATTTAAACATATGTATCTTTATTTCTCTAATCCAAATCTATAGTAGTCTAACTTCAAAAATAAATTTTACTCTTCCTGACTAACTACAACTTTAGTGAATTTACTATGTATTATGTTAACTCACAACATTTTTGCTAACTGAGAAAATTAAATTGTCTCATATTTTCGGAGATTACATCTGCAGAGAATGGGTATATAATGAAGATGAAGGAATGAATTAATAATCACCACACGTTTACTATGAACGGTTTTAAATTAGGTATACATTTATTAAAACTCTCTGCACCTAATATTAATACTTTTTAAGGATTTATCGCACTAAAAGAAATAATACTTTTTCTCTCTAGGGGAAAAATTCACTACAATTTTTAAATTTAATTCACCACACTACAATGCCGTAAGAAGTGTAATCTCGTGGCACCAAAAATTCAGCGCACGTCATTAACAGTAATAATCCTTTCGATACTGCTATCAAAAATGCAATCAAATGGTATGGAGGTGTACTCTGGAGTCAAAGCAAAGGCTTCCTAAGCGTAGAGGAAATGATCTCATCCGAAGATATACTCAATCCCGAGGATATATTTTTCCCTATGCGCGTGGTGCGGTACAGAATGTTTATATGCGAGCAGGGACAACTATATTATTGTTTTAGTGGAATAAAAGGGTATTTTAACCTTTTTTTGGACTTTGCTTTTTATAATTGTAAGAAGACCAGCGAATAGTCGTTACACTCTTCTCCAAGGTTCTAGTTGCCAAGGACACGTAAATTCACTATAGCCGTATAATGTTATTTTAAAAAAGAACACAGAAACGCATTTGGATAGTTAGATGTAAAGTAGCTATACATAACAGGACTGCATTAATATAAAGAAATTTAAATTAACAGTTAAGAGCTTTTTTCCTTGATTTCATTCTTCATATCGAATACAGTATGAATTATGATGAGACTGCTTACTGCTATAAAACACTAGCGAATAATATTTGCGTGTGGTCAAAAGAAATTTTATTTTTCAATCAGAATTGTTGTGAAACTATAATCTTTTAGTTCTCTATCGGTATTTGTGATTTTTGGTTATTTCAATTGCCAGCACTATGTGATATATGAATGCTAAACCTAATTTTTCTCAGCTGAGTAAATGGTAGTCTACCTATTCAAATTACAGCCATAATACGTTCAGTACGATTCAGGAATAATCCTAGCAGTACTATCATTCTTATCGTACTATATTGTTATGATAATATTTTCTGAATAAAAAAAGGTTGGGAATTTCAAGACTTTCTTTCAATTTTATTTAAATAGTCGTTACAATTAAAGTGAAACCCCAACTAAAGACCAACTCGCTGAAAGTGGAAAAGTATTTCTGAGAACAAAATTTAACAGCTGTGTTGATAGTGATGATCTCTTAGGCGACCGCAGCTGCAGAAGAATAAATATGTCTGAAATCGTAGATGATCATCCTAAAATAGTTTCACTATTTGTTAATTATGAAGAATTTAGTAATTGTACCAAATTTAGGACAATTTCCTGTTTCCGTTTCTAATCGTGCAAGATTAGAAACGAAACTTAAGTTAATGATCTATCTTTGTGAATGTTCATAAATTAAATATGAGCTCCTATAACGCATGTTCGCTACCCTTGTGAACGTGTGAGTCACATTCATGGAGTACCTTCGGGAACATTTATCGAATTGTATCTCTTGCTTTAATAATCAGAGGCGTAGCTAGGGTTTTCAGCACCATGGACAACTGAAGATCTTGTTCCCCTTTCTGTGTGCCAAGAGTGAAAAAGTTTCATTCTAAAATTTTGTACCATCAATATGGCGCCCCTGGATGCTGCGCTCGGGGACAGATGTCCCCCCTTGCCCCTCCCTAGCTACGTCATTGCTAATAATGTATGCTTTGAGTTGTAAAGCACAATTAGCATTTTATCCACCAATTTATATTAGTAAAATGTGTAAGGATCTTAAGTTTTACTAACGTTTATTTTATTTTAAATCTTTACTATCACTTCTTATTTTCTACTTCCGGCCAGAATTAAAAGCTTTAACTTATTTATGCAAATTTGTCTTGCGAACGCCAAGTACTTAAGTTGTGGCTTTTTGCCAAGCAAGAGAGAGGAAGGAGCTAATAGAAGCAGGCCGCTTGCTATAGTAGTTTTACTCGGTTGCTGGTTGCCTTCAAGGCCAGAGGTTTAATCCTATTGATAATTTTAAAACGTATCGTAGTGTTAGCAGTTCTCTGTACTACATACGGCTTTTGCTAATATAACGGCCAATCTTGGAGTAGGCACTTATTTGATTAATCCAAAGTTAAGTTTAGTTAGAGTTAGTTAGTTAATATTTTTATATTCTTACGTTCAGACCACAAGTGGTTGGTCTCTGTATCCCGAAGTCCGGAAATCATTGTACAAGAGAAAAATAAAGGGTTTTTATTACCCTTCCTGTGTGTATTGTCTACTTCCCAAATTTATTGAACATAGCTTTAGTAAGCTCCCTGTTCCGATTCAGGACATTTAATGTTCCCAAAGCAAGTAAGAGGAACACAGAACCTAATAGTGGCGCCCGACGAAGAAAATAAACCATGGCCGAGTTTCAAGAAGAACCTGTGCTGCCTGCAGAAGCGGCTCAGAATCCAGAAATGCCAGCTGCCGCTCCTGGAAGGATTTGGTTACATCATCCAGACCATGCAGCATCGATGAAACCAGCAAGTAAGCATTTGATGGAAACTCACCGGTGAACCAATTTTTTTTGGAAAAATTGGATGACAACTTCATGCTATATCCAGTCCATGAGTTCCAGAAAGTTACCTTAGCTACCAGCACTTTGAGAAGGCCAAGCGAGCTTAATTGGTTGAAATGTGTAGGAAGAAGCCTCTTGGGTCAAGCGGGAAGTCCCACCTATACTTACGAAAAATTTCAAGACTGCCTTAATAAAAGCCTTCCCTGTCGTCAAGAAATCGTGCCAGATTAGGAAGTGGAACTTTTCAGCATATACCAGCAACGAATCGAAAATCTTCCACCTTTATTTTAAGAAAAATTCACGTCTTTAAACTCTTGTATGGAAACCATCCGGATCCTGAGATAATTCAAGTGATTTTGCCGAGGTTACTTCCAAAAGTACAAGACTTTATTGAATTAAGGAATCCGACTACACTGGAAAAGTTATTTGAGCTAGCAATCCAGTTTGAAAGTAGAAGAACGGCGGACATTGAAAGAAGATGCCAGTATGAACAACGAAGCCAATTTGGTGCGCCAAGACCACAGCAAAGTCAAGAACACGGCTACGGAAGCAAAGCGAATCAGTGGGCAAGGAAACCCGAGTATCCAAAAACAAACCGGCGAACGTCGACAGTTCAATAGTAAGCCACAAAAAAGTCTGAAGGCCAGTGGAAAAAGAAGGAAGGCATGGAAAGGAAGAAACAAGATTTAAACTAAAACGGATTTCTGCTGACGGGAGGGTGCGGAAAACCGAAGGCCAAGAAAACCCCTCTTCCTTCAAGTTAAATACAGTGATGGTGAAAAATTTGACTCTTCCAAAGATTGAAGTGTTGGTGGATAACATCCCAGCCACCGCACTCCTGGATACAGGCGCGCAGTGTTCCTGTGTGGCAGAAGATTTTTTTAGGAAGTATTTCCGTAAATACCGCATATATAATTCGGATAATACGACAGTGTTAGCTGCGCAGGGAGAAAGTTGCAAGTGCATAGGTAAATTACCGTTATACGTTCGTATCAAGGACGAGCAAGT